TTTTTTAAAGGATGACAGCTAATAAAATCACAGACCCAAGAGCTACACCCTTAGAGTCTGAAGTGGGCTTTGAAGCCAATTAGCCATATCACTTTGGAGAAGTGGTGATGTTGTTTGTCTCTAGACTCTCCTACTTTTAAAATGTCTTTTAGTTGTTCCTCCTCTATAAGGTGACCATGAAAATGGAGATATTCATGTGCACAATATGCTTAGCATGCTGTTAGCTGCAGTCTCTGTCCATCCAATGCTGAAAACTTGAAATCTCATGGTTCATCTGTGTGCCTGAGCCCTGGAACACTTTGATTTCTGTGTGTACTGAGCAGAGTTACCTAATTTCTATGAGCTTTAGTTTTCCTTTTCTTCTACAAGCAATAGTTACTTTCAAAAATCATTGTGAAGATTAAATATTAATGTTCAAGGTGACTGACGTGTGAATATTTTAGCAACAGTGGTTTTTAATCATCTATAAAAATAGGACATTAATCTCTATCATATGTTAAAGATGGTTGCGAGGACAACTTACATGAAAAAGTGAGCCCCTTGCTAGTCTGTGCAGTGCAGTGTCATGCAGCTAAGTACCAAAGAGCAGTCTTTCATGCAGTTGTAAATGTTTTTCCTTTTATCATTAAGAAGCCCAAAATTGGTCAGTGTAGATGAATCCACTTAAAAGCTTTCTTAGGAATAGTACTTTTTCATTTACTTAAAGCTGCTTTCCAAGGTCTTAATCCTTAAACAATCAATATAGCTTTGTGAAATAAGTTATTTTATACTGAGTAGATTGTATTGTAAAGAAAAGAAAAAACAATGATATAGAATTTCAAAACAAGATTACAGGAGAGGGCCGGGGAGGTAGCTCAGTGGCTGGAGCACCTGCCCGGTAAGCACAAGGTTCTGAGTTTGATCCCCGGTACAAAAAAAAAAAAAGATTATAGGTTATTACATTGTATATTATCTTCAAAGTAGCTGTTTATATGATAAGATATAGTCATGGAAAAACCAGTCAAACATACAGGGATAAAACTTTCTTGTCAATGAATAATAATAAGATAGTTACATTAATGTAACTATCTTAACATATATATCTATACTAATATATGTATATTCCTATATATGTTAAGATAATTACATTAATTGTTATTCATTGACAAGAAAAAAATCATACATAAAGGGAGATAGACTCTCCCTCTCTGCCTTTTCCCTTCCTTCATTTTTCCTGGATAGATTTTTGCAGAAGACTCAATGGCTCAGATATTTTTCCATTTTAATTTAGTACACGTTGACCTCTTTTGGTCCAAAGCACTTCGGTTCCTAAAGGCATTTTGCGTTTTGTCCCACAGGAGATAAGTGCCACATACCTCTAGGTTTGAGTATGAATGCAGGAGGATTCCTGGTCCCTGGAGGCAGGGCACCTGGTACCTGGAGACAATTTTGCTTTACAACTGGCAGATAAAATAAAGTCCTTTCTGAATTAACTGATATATGGATTTTAGAATTCAAATTTTGTCTTACCTAATAGGAGGGAGATTCCTTAAAAATAGTGCTGCACATAACCAACAGCAATCTCCCTACTGGAAGCTGCGCACCTCTTTACAGTGGAACAATCTAATAATGGGGCCCTTAACACTTACTACTTTTTATTATGTTTTTTATTTTGTGGCTCCAGGGATTGAACTCAGGACCCTGCACTTGCCAGGCAGGCACTTATTCTACTGAGCTATCTCCCCGGCCCTTTACTTATTTCCAATGTAACAGACACTAATTATATTTGATGTAGAAATTAATAAAGCCAGATAAGGCCAGATGTCTGTACTTTCTCCAAGAGTCATTTTCCCTCCTAATCAGTTTGATGCTTCTCACTGTAAGCTGCAAAGTGCTCCTGCGCATTTTGGTTTTCCGTGACAATGCTGTGTGTAGTGACATGCACAGTACTCGAGACCAACACGTGATGTTGGATAAATTTATTCAGTGAATGTTGGCTCTTTTGCAGAGACATTTCAGGTGAAGACTTCTACTTTGGAATTGTTTCATGCTGTGTAACCAGATAGGAAGGCATTTTCTTTCTTTCTGGCAGAATAAAGTCGGCATGCCCTGGTGAAAGCTTAGGGAAAGTATAATTGATGTATTTTTGAAATGCTGCTCTGGTTTCCTGTAACTCCTCCTCCAGAAAGTCCTTCCAGCTTGTCATGATTCCCAGTTGTTCCGCTATGGACAGCAACTCCCCCTGGGTATTAGCCAGCTTATTCACCACATTGCTCAGCGTGGCCCGGTGTGTTTTCTCTGTTTTGTAAAGCACCTGCTGTACCGCCTCTTGCCGCCGCCTCTGAGCCAAGCCATAGTACGCATTCATTTCTTGTTCCTTTGCCTTTATTAACTGCTCCATGTTCAGCTTCTGCTCCTTAAATCCTTCCAAGCCGGCCTTCACAAGTTCCTCCAAGACCTTGCTACAGAAAATAATACGGATTTAGAAGTCAGATCAATTAGTCACTAAAAGCAAAATGGTTTTGCCTTTAACCACCTATGTACTGGAAGTCACTACTTTTTTGCGGAGGGTGGGGCTGGCTCAGGATGCTTTCAGGGCAGATCTGGTAAGGCCTGAGGATCTGGGGATCAAACCACAGCATCCTGATTGCTTTGTTTAAGCAGTCACTTGAACAACTGAGCTAATGGGCAGGCCCCTTAGAAATCATTACATTGTTGAGGTAAACCACCAGCCCAAAGCAGGTTGGTATATGTGAGATTTCGGGCTGCATTAGCTATTAGCAATCCATCAAAAACTATATTTCAGAGCTGGGTATGGGTCATGGTGCTGTCCATACACCGCCTTGCTAAGGATGGAAGTGAGGCCACTAGTTTAATGTTAAACAGTAACTTCAGGGGATTGAGCCTACCTTGGCCCCCAAAATACTAGTACATTGTTCTTAAAAATGAAGAAACAATGCTTGGGATGTAACTCAGTATTGGATACTTGCGTAACATTTTGAAGGCCCTGGGTTCAATCCTAGTACAATGTAGGGGTGGGGAGAGGAGGAGGAGGAGGAGGAGGAGAAGGAAGAGGAGGAGGAGGAGGAGAAAGAGGAGGAGGAGAAAGAGGAAGATGAGGAGGAAGAGGAAGAGGAGGAGGAGGAGGAGGAGGAGGAGGAGGAGGAAGAAAAGGTCAAAATTCCAACAGAGAAACTATTTTTTACATCATTTCAATGGCTTTTAGCCAGAGGAAAGAAAACATTGCACTCAGGTGAGATTTAGCTCTAATCTTGATTTTATTTGAGCAGCATTTTATGATGTTTATTTTAAATTTTTTGAATCCATTTACACTGAAATTACTAACAAATCCAAGATTTATTTATAACAATGTTTCTATGAGTTATATATATTGACATTAATCATATTCTAAACTAAACATCAGACTTTTTATACTTTAAAAAAATTTAACTTATTGGTACATTTTTGACACACACACACTGATCACAACTTCGTAGGGATTTTGTAGCTATACGTATTACATCTTCTTTTTCTCCCATTTCCAATTTTTCTTCCCCTCTCCCTTTACTAAGTTTTGTTTTTACTGTTTTCTTTCATTCTTCTTTAACCTTTGATCCCTATTCTCTCTCTTCCCCTTCCCCCTTCTTGTTTTCTCTTCCATTTGAACAATTTATTTCTACTTCCAAATATCTATCATCATTTTGATCCTTATTTACCCTCTGGGTTTCTCACACAAGAGAAACAATTTGTGTCTGATTTATTTCTAAAAGTGAGACATTTGAACAATATTTATTTAAAAAAAAAAAATATATATATATATATATATATACATTAGCTTAGTCATTTTAATGTAAAACACATATTCCAAAGCAATAACATATTTGATGAGAATAGTATAACTTTATGGAGGTTTTCTTGGAAAAAATCCTTTAATATCTGTCCTAATAAAAATGCTAGGTTTTCAGTATGTTGGGATATGACACATCATAAAGCCTGTGGAAAACTTACTAAACATGTATTAGAGCCAGGGGTGGTGGCACACACCTGTAATCCCAGCACTCAGGAGGGTGAGGCAGGTGGACCACTTTGAGTTCAAGGCCAGCCTGGGCTAAAAAAAATGGAGTTCAAGGCCAGCCTGAACTTCACAGTGAAACTGTTTCAAAAAGACAAAAACAAACAAACAAACATGTATTAGAAAATAAGAGTGAAAAAGGCAAATAACATCTTAGTGTGATCAAGAATATATTTCATGGATACTGTACCCCCAAAAGGTCTCAGGGACCCTGAAGGTCCTTGGACCACACTTTGAAAACCGCTGCTGAATGATTTAGACTTCTGGTTATAGTATATGTGGTTGTGTGTAATTTATAGCATAAATTAGTCCATGTGGACATCTTCCCATGTGTCAAACTGGAAGACGAGCTTCTGTGCTGAAAGTAACTCAATGATTCCTTAAAACAAACCCTCTCGTTATGCCTCATTTATGATGAGGATACTAAGGCTCAAAGAAGTTAACTTGTTCGTGTTCACTTAAACAGTGGAAGTGGTAAAAGCTGCCCTATAAGCCAGGTGGTGTGAGTCCAGGGCAAATGTTCTCAACTTTGTGATACACTTCAGGGGACTTCTGGAGTTAACCTTGTATAAACAAAGCCTCTGCAGAATTTAAAAATCTGTAAATACCTGGTTCAAATATGCATAGCTAATACCCCCCCCCCCGCCTCCCAGTTTAACACAGCCTTTCCAAGATTTACTACCTACTTATCATCCATATGCCATTCTCCAAGATACAGTTCTCTCATCTCTAATTCTTCCAATTGGACCTTAAAAGTAGACAGACTTCCCAATCCTGACGTAAACATCATTCTGCTTAGCCTTTCTACTTACGGGGCCAGTTTTTCCTTCATTTTCTCACCACCTGGGCCGCATCCATTACTACCAGCAAGGGTTACTATTTATTGAACACTTTGTGTCCCATGGACCACACTAAGCATTCTGAATGTATTTTCTCTCCTTTAACTTTCCCAAGAATCCACAGAAGCTTGGACTACTTTTATTTCTTACCCATCATTATTTCCATGTGAGGACAACGAGGCTTATAGAGATCAAATGATTGATTGCACACAATTAATCCAGTGGGAGGGAGTTCCTCCCTCCACCACTGCTCATGAGAGACCATGATAAATTTTTTGTTGGAGGACAACACAATGAATGCAACTTGCAAGAACTGCTATTCAAAAAAAAAAAAAAAAAAAAAAAAAAAAAACTGTTATTCTGGTAACTGTGAATGAATTCAGAGAGATGAAACAGGGAGATCAATTAATATCATCTTGTGATATTTTGGAGGGACAATGATGAGAGAAGGAGGGGTGAGAGATAAGCCCCCAAAATATCACAAAGCTTGACTGCCAGCACTGGAGCCTGTGAGGGAGACTATGGGGGATGCAGAAAGAGGAGGATTCAAACCTAATTGTGTCCACAAAGAAAGTGAATTTTGGTTTTCTTCTGCAGTCCTACAAGAGAATCATCAAGTGTCTCCTTCCAAATCTTTAATCATTCTGTTCTCATTCTCTTGCCTCTCTCACAAATGGGGTCTCTTATCTCCTAAGGCTCAATTCAAAACCAACCTCTTCTGGAGAGACCTACTGGAACACACGCTCCCACTGCTTGATCTTTCCAAAACTTTAGACTCCTACACCCCCTGCATCATGTGTGCCAGTGCATTCAAGCCTGTTTGGACAGGGTGGCTGTGCACTATCTATTTGATAAGTTGAAGAAGGATCCTTACGTTTTTATGTTGGATGCTTACTGCCACGTTCACAGAGGGCACTTGGCAAGCTGAGAGGAGGTGGACAAATCCTCTCCATAGCTTACGTCATTTATCACAGAGGAGGGGAACATCATGGAGTGTCAGACTTGGGCATCCCAGAGGACAGGTCTCAGATCAGGCCCTGTCAGCTCTTCTTTGTCAGCCTTTGTCTGTCAGTCCTTTGTCAGTTTCTGTCCAAGACTCAGGGTTTTAATCTGAAGACATGCAGGTTAGTAGAACCCTTCTGGGAGGCACATAAAATTTGATGAAAAGCATACAAAGGGCCTAGTGTGTAGTGGGTATGGAATAAAGGGAGCTGTCACTAGAAATTATAGTACTGACCACAAAAATTCTGAGCAGTTGCTCCACCCATGCTTTGCCTTGGGCTAGAAAACAATCAGAACTTTTCCAATTTTTTTTAACTTTAGGAAAAGAAAAGTCCAGTGTCTCCAAGATAATCTGTGTAAAAATAATCACCTTCATGCACAAAAGTTTCTGTTCACTGAACATATTTCTCATAATATGTAAGCACTCTGAATCCTTAAGTCTTGGATTAAAGTTTATATAGTCAAATAAAGGATCTACAAATTCTAACTACAGTTGACCAAACGGTAAAACTCTTGAAGACATAGGATGGGCAAGGGATTCTAGAACAACACTCCACTTACACAAGAAATAGTACCAAGAATCAACAAATGGGATCATATCAAATTAAAAATCTGCTGCATAGCAAAGGAGACAGCCAACAGAGTGAAGGGAAACCGACAGAATGGGAAAGAAATTGCCAGCTCAGTAAGAGGACTAAAATCTAAAATAAAGAACTCAAAAAATTAGACACCCCCTAAACAAAGACCCAACCAGTAAGTGCACAACTAGAATAAATAAACACTTCTCGAGAGAAGAAATATAAATAGCCAATAAGCACATGAAAAAACATTCAACATCTTTGGCAATTAGAGGACTGCAAAGTGAAACAACACTGAGATTCTGTCCGAAGGAATGGCCATCATCAAGAAGGAAAAAACCAACCAAATCTGGCCAAGTGGTGGGAAAAGAAATCCTTCTACACTGAAACATATTATTGGTACATTTTAGATATACACGATGATAACATGCATGAGAGGGAATTTGTGTCTGTACATGACATCGTCCTTTTATCCCCATTCCTCTCCCCTACCTTCAACCCCTCTTTCCCTAATTTACAGAAACTTTGTTGCCATCTTTCCCTTCTTTTTTTTTTTTCTTGTCCTGTCCTTTCTTTCCCTATCTCCCTCCCTCATTCTCTTCCCATTTGAACATTTTCTTCTCATTTCCCAATATCTATTATATATTTTGGTCCTTATTTACACTTTCAGTTTCTCACCCAAGAGAAATGATATGGTATTTAAACATGTGTGTTAGGACCACACGTATAGCTCAGAGGTACAGCGCCTGCCTGGCAAACACAAGGTTCTGCATTCTATTCCTGGCACAAAAATAAATAAATGAACATATGTGGCTGATTTATTTCACTTAAGAGTTTGATCTCAAGGTGCATCCACTTATCAAGATAAGCATAAGCTAGACATGTCTCAAGCTTCTTTTTCAGGGCAGAGTGCTGTTCACTGTATACCTTCTACACTCTTGATGGAAGTATAAATTAGGATAACCATTATGGAAATCAATAAGCAGATTTCTCAAAAAACTAAAAATAGAAAGTCCAACTGACCCACCTAGATACCCTTCCAGGTATATTCTTGAGTGTCAAAGACATCATATTGCAGTACCACATGCATTACCATGTCTATAGAAATTTAACTCAGCATAGCTAAAGCTTGGAAGCAGCCTATACTTCCAGCAACAGAAAATGTGGTTTATATACACAATGGAGCACTATCTGCCATAGAGAAGGATAAATTGCCAGCTATTCCTCAGTCAGGACTAAAATCTAAAATAAAGAACTCAAAAAATTAGATGCCATTTGAGTCATTTGTAGACTTGAGACTATAATGATCAGTAAAATCAGAAAGAGAAGCTTAAATATCAGTTCCTCTTTTATGAGGAAATTCAAAGTATAAATAATATGAAGAACGGGGCTGGTGAGATGGCTCAGTGGTCTAGGGCACCTACTTGGAACAAGCTTAGTGGAGCACAGAGACCGCGGTTCAATCCCCCGGCGCCACATGCCAGCCAGTCCCCGCCCCCTGGTGGGCTGAGCTGGCCACACACACATACACACACACAAATAAATAAATAAATAAATAAATAAATAAATAATAAAAATTTTTTTTAAAAGTTGGCACTATAAAAAAATAATAAGATGAAGAACAAAATAAAAAAAAGAATAGAAAGTGGGGAAATAGACCTTTACAAATAGTAAAGGGAGAGGCCAGGGAAATAGCTCAGTAGAATAAGCACTTGCCTGGCAAGCACAAAGTCCTGAGTGCAAGACCTGGTTCTGGAAAAAAAAAAAAAAAGACAAAAAAACAAATAGGAAAGGTATCTGGAGATGGAGGGAGAGGGCAGGGGCAGGGGAAGTAGAAAGGATTAAAGAGTGATAAATGTACTACCAGTTCTCTGTAATGAATATATTCATTATATATAACATGAAGAAAACTATTTTTAAAACTTTGAAAAATATGGAGATTAAAACAAAAGTACTGGCATATATATATATATATATATATATATATATATATATTCCTCCAAATGCTCCAAGGAACACTGAAATCTATCAGTGTCTAGAAATAAGGTCTGGTATGCTATAGAGTTCAGCTGATCAAAATAAATTGAAACTGCTGGGTGTGGTGGCACACACCAATAATCGCAGAACTCAGGCTACTCAGGCAGGATTTCTAGGAGTTCAAAGCCAGCCTGGGTTATATAAGAAAGTTCAAGGCCAGGCTGCACTGCATAGTGAGACCTGGCTTCAAAAACACCAAAAAAAAAAATTTTTAACCATTCTTTTAATGAATAAAGAATGCTCACTATGTGTTGTGTTCTCTTCTAGGCATGTGGGAACATCAATGAACAAAAGAGGCATTACAGGTGGATACATTTAAAGAACATACATGGCAGCTCTCTATCTTAGTGTTTTTAATTCAATAAAAGATGGACACTGGAAACTTTCCACCCAGACTTTACAGCAGAAAGAGCTGGAGGTGGGCAGAAGCACAGAGCAAGGAAGGGATCAGGGCCTGCAGGGATGGTGAGGAGTGGAACCGTGCCCTTGGAGAAGTGCACAGCTCCTGTAGATGGAAGGGAGGTGCGGAGAGGGCCTGCCTTCCACTATGCGGGCCCACAACTTACTCCCAGGTCACGTTCTCTCCCTCTCACCTTTCTCTTCCACCTCCACAATGATCTACATCTATGTAGGAAGAAACGCATGCAGAAACTGCTGCAGTTGGGCCCTCATTCTATCTGCATCTCATCCAGGACTCTACTTTTGGCCCTCTTATAAGCAGTTCTAATGAAAAAGATCTCATTTGATGATATTTAAAAGGAATTGCTTGTTAACTCAAGTGACAAACAAACAGGAGGCCAAACAGGGTGGTCTCAGGCTCGGTTCTGGTGTTACAGTTCAGGGGTCGTGGGCAGGTCACCGAGTGCTGGGAAGCTGTGGCCTTCTCTACACCTGACGAGCTCTGGTGTCCTGACTGTTGTCTTATGCCATCGAACCTTCTTCTCCTACATGAACATGACTGCCTTGGTGTTTTTGAACTACACCGGCCGCACATTCTCCTTTGGCATGTATGTGACTTGCTCCATTAGAAAATGATTTGTGACTATGCACAGGCTGTAAATACAGCAAAAGACTCAGGAAAATAGAGACCCTATTACTTAAGATGTTTGTTTCTGGGAAGAAGTAGTGAAAAAATAAGTCGGAAGCTGTGAATTTTGATCTACACATTTTTATAAGGTCAACTTTTGCAACATATGTTATTTAGAAAGAAGAAAACAGCCTAAGAAGTAGCACATCTATAGTAGCATATGAACTAGGTTAAGGGACATAAATAAAAATTTATGTATGCATGGGAAAATGTTTCTTGATTTTTCTCCTTAGCCTCTTAAAGGTAGAGATATGTAAGATCACAATATTTAGAAGTTTAAATATCTGTGGAAAATGGGAGTGAAGGAAATATGACTGAGAAACAATACACAGGAGATTCAGAAATGTTGGCAATTGCCAGTTTGCTAAATTGGATGTTAGAACCTTGAGCAATTATGTTACTTTTTTTTTTTTTTTTTTAAACAGGGTCTTGTTATGTAGTTCAGGCTGGTTTTGAGCTCACTTTATAGCCCAGGCTGATTTCAAACTCACAGCGACCTTTCTGCCTCAGCCTCCGGAGTTCTAGGATTACAGACATGTGCCACCACATCCAGCTACTATTTTTCTATCAACCTCCTTCTTCTAATATAGCATCTCTATATATGATACATCTCATAATAAAGAAGGATAAAACAAAAACTGGGTAATATCCGCCATGCACCCAACCTTATCCCTTTCCCCAGGTGCACTTCAGTAAAGTTGCGTGTGAATTTTCAGTGTGGCCTCTGAAATACCTTTTCTGGTCCTTGAGAGCCAGCTGTGCTATCTGGCGCTCCTCCTCCCGGGCCCTCTGCACGGCCTCCATCTTCTCCTTGTGGCACTCCACCATAATCCTCTGGATTCGATGTACCATGCGTTGTTCTGCAGCCAGGTTTTCTCTCTTCATTTCCTCACCCATGTTTTGAAACACCTCTGTCTTGGTTTTATCTGCCATTGCCTTAAATGGAAAACCTCGTTCAGATCTCATAGCTTTGATGTTGTAGGATGATGAGTACTAAGATGTGGGGTCTACATCATAGTTTCATCTACTTGATGGAATGCCTGTTAACAAGGATGATTTGAAAGAATGTTCTATCTGATATGGAAAGCTTTCATTTACATGTTAAGCAAAACCAAAAATGTACAAATTATGTAGTAAATCTATATATCTATATCTATATATCTATACATGTATATACATAGATATATACTGTACAGATCATATGGAAAAGGAATATGCAAGAATGCTGGTTAGAGGGTAAGGTTGAAATTTGTTTTTTAGGGCTAGAGATCACACCTGAGGGCCTTGTACATGCAAGGCAAGCCCTCTCACATGGAGCTACCGGCCCAGCCCAGGTCTTTTTTTCTAAGTTATCATATTATCTCTATACAGTAAAATGGAACAGACAACTGTACCTCCAGGGTATCTTCCAGGCTAGGCAAAAAACTGAGATTCAGGGAAAAAACAGATGTATGTCACTGCAGTCACCAGAACCTGCCTTCCAGGCCCACTCCTGAGATAATCAGTGGCCAGGTTCAAACTTTGAACCTAGAACTCAAAAACCTGGAGTTTTGAAACTTCATTTAAAGGTAAATTTTTATCTTTATTTTTTAAAGGAAGATATTAGGAGAACATAAATAAGTTGCTTCACGAACATGTCAGTGAAATAACTTGAGAGAAAAATCAGAGTTCTTGACTGTCGATTTCTCTAATAATTGCTAGTTGAAATACTAGTCTTTGAAGAAATTTATCAATTTGTTTTCCTTCCAGAAACTCTGTACATCACAGTGGACCTTCTTTTTTTTAAATGGCAAAGTCTATCCTTCAAGCGAAACCTTACTTCGAGTTGAAAGGAACAAAAACATTAAAAAGCATCCCAGCTGAAGGCCGCTTAAGCCCCCTTAGCACCCTTTCTTGGGTGCCCAGGAGAGCCACCTCCACATATGGTGCGTCCAGAAAGGCCCCTAGGCTGAAGCTGCAAGTCAGATGGAAACTGCTTTTAGCTTCTTACAAAATGTTTCAACAGCTGAAATATTAGTTAGATGGGAAGAGGTTATAGTTCATCCCTGCACCAAAACCAACATCAAAGCAAACAAACACTGAAACTAAATTGTTTTAGACTTTAGTTTTTTTCAAGCAGAAAAGTTTTCACCCTGTCAGCCATTCACTTTGGCTATTCCAAAGAGGGAAGAAAATAAAGAGAAAAAGAGACCACAAAAATCAATGTTAGGGCTGGGGAGATAGCTCAATGGTCTAAGCTCCTGCCTGGCAAGCATAAGGCCCCAAGTTCGATCCCTGGTACTGCATGACGTGCCAACCCCCAAACCCCAATTTTTTAGAAATCATTCAATAACCTTCTTCAATAACCTATAGTCCCAGAGCAGGGGAGGCTCCCTGTATCAATCAAAATAAAAACTTTAAAAAAAAAAAGTGGCCTCTCTCAGTGTATTTTTGTATTTTGAATATCTTTTTAGGAAAACATTGATGGTTTAGAAATGCTAACAAGATTTTTTTTACTGTGAAGAATGTATTATCTTAATTTGGCACTTCTGATAAAATATTTTGGCCTCCAACCTCAATGCTTAATTTTATAAAAAGAGTAAACTAAGACACTAACATCTTCTTGATATGCTCTCAGTAGATTAAGGTGAATGATAGTACTGGGTTAAAAACTTTATATGGCATCTAATAAATAATTGTCCCATCTCATAGGAATATTTGTCTCTGTTGTAAATGATCCTGGACTGCTTTGATATTGGAGATGTGGCATCTGTTCTTTGTAGTTTTTCTTGTCCTTCCCATGCCTTAGGATGAGCACTATTTTTTTCACTGACTCCTCCCTTTTTTCCTTGTTTCCAACATTTACTCTATTTTGGATTTGAAAAATCAAGCAACCAACTCTGTTGGGTTCAGTTTGCCAAGTATCATGACGTCAGAGTGGGGCTGGAGAAGCTTTACTATGGAAGAGAAGCCTCAGTTCTTCTCTTGGAGTCAGAGACTTTTATTTAAAGCAGTAGAAAACATTTTAGCTTAATTCTGAGTTTTCAGGTAGTCTCAATAATTGAGACCACCAGCTGGCTGGGCTTCAGCTAGGTGAAGTGGCGTATGATGCAGCTATTTCTGCGGGAATCATAGAATTTTAAAATTATACCTAGCCCTTTATTTTGAATAGGTTCTGAACTAGAACTCAAGAGAATTAAAATTAGTTCCTTATTTATGTAATGATTTGGTAAAACTAAAATCATCTTACTGCTTCACATAGGACTAGAACACATACAGCTCCAGAAATAATTTAATAACCTGCTACTTGGCAATGCTCTCAGTTGATGTAGGGTCAGCTTTTAATAAAACGCATTTTGAATGATCAGCCCACATTTCAAGATAAAAAGCTTCATGAACTCCATCATGTTTCCTATGCAGATAGTTGAAAGATATTTCTTTATACAGTATCCCTTTCAAGAAACATTTCAGGTTTTATAACTAAAATCTCTATGTCTCTTTCGAGTCTGGTTTGTTTTGACCTTATGGAAGGTGAAGCATGGTATTTCCTTCTCTGCACTGAGGGTCAGGATACAGTGGACTGCCGCAGTCCACTCTTTGTGCCCATGCCACGCCTGGCTGGAGTAGACAACTGGTGTCAAGCAGGCAGCAGCCCTTTCGTCCTTTGGAACCCTAGGGCAGAATCCCTCCCCACCAGTCCGCTGAGGGCAAGGGCAGCCCGTGATCTCATCGAGTACACAACACAGCAGATGGCAGGTGTTCGTTACTGAAACAATGAGTGCATGAGCCCAGAGTCTCTGTTCTTAGCCAGTTAGGCTAACACTGGGCCAGGTCCCTGCGGCTTCTTCCACGTGCTGCTCACGTAACAGCACACCTGCACCTGTCTCATCCTATCTCCCCCCGCCAGGCAGACATGAAAACTGTCCCATATCCTTGTTTTGTGAGCACTCTGTACAACTGAGGTGCTAAGCCAAACAATGAATTCCTGGGCTGGAAAGTTTATTAGTTACCTAGAATCATGTGGTACAACAAGCTGCAGGCTAGAAAGCATTGCCCACATCTTGTGACCATAGTCCTGCAGGAATCCTTGAGGGACAGCTGGGGGGAGTGGGGTCTTGGCAGTACAAGAAATACAAATTTAGGGAAAGGAATGCAACCAGACTCGAAGCAGGAAGAGAACAGCCTGTGGGATTTGTTCTACAATCCTTGAAGCCCCTGCTAAGTCAAGGCACTGTGACAGGCACCCAAGCTAGTGGAAGGATACAAAGACGTGCCCTGAGGAAAGCTGCAGTGGGGTGGGGGCTTGTCAGACATTAAACAAGTAACCAACCAATTATTTAACTGCAACAGTGATGACGGCTATGAAGGAGATCAAAGTGTCATGGACAGGTGGCAGGGCAGGGCTGGTGGGTAAAGCTCCTTTTAGCAAGTAAGCTACGAGGTTTTTCCCTTAGAGCGGCACAGATCCACAGAGCTCAGCATGTCTTCTGTGAACCTCCAAGGCCACCCTTTTAGCCTCTATAACACACCAACCTCGTCTTTACATATTACTATTTTCTCCCATTCCCTCTCCAACCTAAGTACTTTATTCTACAAGCCATTATGAAAAAAACCTGTAAATCTTTTTGATGTTTTTCTTCCAAAATCTGAATTTGAAATTTGTGTCTCTCATTTGCGTCTTCAAGGGCTTTGTCCACTGCTTGTTTTTGGCGTTCATTGGCCTTTGAAAGAAAGAGCTCGGTTATTTATTAATATTATCAGGATAAACACAGGTCAACTCATTATTTGGGACTGTTGGAAAGTCAGGTTTTCCCAAATACTGAAAATTAGTGGCTGCCGAATGACCTTCTCAATTCCTGCCTCAGACTTCCACAGCAACCTGGCTGCCTTAGCCAGCGACACCCTACACACCCCCCAGGCCTTGGCGAACGCTGCTGCTGCTTCAGGAATTGCTACAGACAGCTTTATTATTTACAGGTTGCTGAGTTATCTTTTCTCCCTGGCACCATCTCTTGCTTGACTGTCAAAACAATACATACTCAGGGTAGAAAATCTGAAAACACTGACACTGAAGATACACAGTTAAAAGGTATAGGCTAAGGAAGCTGAGTACCTTTGCACGAACAGAAGAGTTCAGAAAGAAGTTTACAACTTTACTTGAAGAGACTAAGTAAGCTCGGGAACTTTACTGGGACACTCAATAAACCTATACCCCAATCATGATTCACAAAAGCATGCCATATATTAGGCTGTATAATTGGTGGTTCATGAGCAATTTGAATTTTATTACTGATAAATCTACCTCTCCTGAAAAAATATTTATCAGTAATAAAATTTTTATGCCTATTCATACTAGAATATTTTTTGTTGAAAATACATTCATGCCAATGTACAGTTCCAATATTATTTGCTGCAATGTTTATCTTCTGAGGAAATTATGCAATATCATCTTAAGCACTATGGCTTGGCTTGTCCTCAAGGAGCTTTACTTCTCTTTAGGAAGCCATTTACATCCTTCTGTGAGTGAAAGTAGGGACAACAGGATGGAGGCTCTGCCCACTCTGACTCCCAGCATCCAAATCTCCAGTGCCTCTCAGCAAGCACATGCTCAAAGCGTCAAGAATGTGTGGACTTCTGAATGAGCCAGCCCCTCCCTGTGACACCCAAGCTGGGCTTGGATTCCTGGACCCAACTGATTCTCCACCTCAGTGTCTCACATAGCAGGGACTATGGCATAGTCCTTACGCCAGCAATACCAAAGATTCCAGAGCCAGAACACGAGGCAGAAAGCAGGACAAGAGGCAGCATGGAGAAAAAAATGAGTGTTCAGTCTAGGGGATTACATGCAGCACAGATGGTGGTATAGATATTAAATGTAAGCCACCATGATGTATAGGATTTTACCTTTTGAGTTTTAATCAAACTGGAATGAAGGGCAAGTCATTCTCCCAAAGTGGGCAATAAAAAAGGAAAGAAGCTCTTGAGGGGACCCATTTTTTGCTAAGCACCTACTGTCTGCCAGGTGTATTATAGCATTGACCAATCTCAACGATTCTATACAATGGTTGTTGTTACTATTATTCCTTTCTGGTACATGAAGAGGTCTCTATTGCAGAGCTTAAGAACTTGCCCAGGATCCCAAAGCCACTCCAGCTTCAGTCAGTTCGGTCTGACTCTCTGTAGTCTATGCTCCTGCCTACTATGCTCTGCTTTTGCTTTAGACAAATCCACAAAGTAAAAGATCTGTAAATATGTATCTTACATTAATTTCTAACTTTTTACCTTATTCCACACTTGAGCTTCTGCTTTTGCAATACTTTCTTTGAGCACATCCTCTTGAATTTGTTCTTTTTTATTCAGAATATCTCCCCCAATTTCTGTGATTTAAAGAGAAATGATCACAAATCTCCAGACTGTTTCCTAGCTTTCCTTTCTGCATTATCTAGTCATTTACATGAGTCATCTATGGGATACATCCTTTTAGGAGCTATCAACTTTTCTTTTCCTCTCCTTTCCTTTTCGCTAAGTTTTTATTTATTTATTTGAAGCTGTTGATTCATTGCTTTCAGCTGTGTGATTTCCAATTTGTTCTGTGTTAGTGTCCTCTGCACTTGTTACGGGTGGGCTTGGGTTCTGAGGTTGCATTTTGTTCCTTCTCGTCATTTTGTGTAGCACTGTCCTCTGCCCTTTGTTGTAGATCTTTGCTGTAGTTATAACCTTCGCACATACTGAAGTTCAGGTGGAGCTCTACAGAGATTGGACTTAATTCAGCTGTGTCTGGCTTAGGTCTGGCTGCTGTGCTCAGCTCCTTCCCGCTGCGGACCAGGACTAGGACTGGGTCTGGGGGTTCCCGGAACTCGGCAGAAATTCCTACTCGGCGGGAGGGGTGGGGGAGGTACGGCGGAGTGGTGGGGGGCAACCCGAGGGGGCGGGAGAGGGTCCGGCCCACGCTGCGCCTGGGCTGGGACTGGTCCCGCAGGCGCAGGGTAGCAGGAAGCTCTCCACACACTCACCGGACCTGGGCTAGGACTGCGTCTGGGGGTTCCCAGAACTCGGCAGAAATTCCTCTTATTTGAGACAGGGTCTCACTATGTGATTTAGGCTGGTCTTGAACTATGTAGCCTAGGCTGGCCTCAAAATTAGTACTGTCCTGCCTCAGCCTCCTGGGTGCTGGGATTGTAGGCATGTGCGTCACACCTGGCTATTTCTGTCTCTATCTTTCTCTCTCTCTCTTTTTTTTTTTTTGGTATTAGATGCTAAGTACAACTCCTACCACTGAGCTATATTCACAGTCATTCACAATCCATTCTTTAAAGACACACATAAAATGGGTAGACTTTCCCTGATTAGGAAAGAACTTGGAGCACGGTTAGGCCTGAGTAGGATCATTATTCAGCTAAGCCACACCCAATTCAGACAGCAGGCAACTGAAGTTACACAGAATAAATCCCCTGTATAAAGTGGCATATTTTGTACAGTTAAGTTAGAACTGTGAGTGAATACTCAAGAGATTAGCACATTCTTCTTGCTCCTGTCTGGGTGCTGTACTACCTCTGTCAGGAAGGTGCAGGCCAAATACTGTCTTTAAAACATCACGTAGGTACCTTTCTTTAATATGCAAAAGACTTAACTACTTCAGTTGTGCAGCTAACAAAGTAGCTGATTCTTTGTCAATTATCTGATTCCCAAATAATAAAAAGTCCATAATGCCCCCTCTCCCTAGAAAGGGTAGTTATCTAAGGTTAAACAATGCTGTATCAAGTAGATTCAGATCAAACTGAACCTGGAATCAAGATCTGAATCTTTTGAGTTGGTCACAGGATCTGTCTATCTTTTTACAACCACGAGGTTGTCAGAGGTGCCACAAATTATTGTGAGTGATAAGCTTCAGGTACTGAGATCATAGAATTTTTCTCCGTAAATTCTCATCCCATTCATTTCTCATATTTTAGGTCAGAGAAATCGGTTACTTTTCATATGGTTAGGCTTTGGCAATAAACTTCCTAGAATGACAAGCCCATCTCACAATGCCTAGCTTGGCAATATTCACATGCGACCCTGAACATGTGTTTTTGTCTTTTCTGTTTCCCTGCTCTTCCACTAGTAACAAGACCCACTTTTCTCAAGAAGATGCTCCTTCACTTGAGATTGTTCTGGTGAGGATGTCCAATCACAGCCCCCAATCTTCTTGGCCTTTCTTACCTCCTCCAGGCACTGTAATTGGCTCAAGATCAGCACATGCTCAGGGCTGGCTAATAAGACTCATCTCAGGATTTTATATAAGAATCTAAGGAAAAACTACCTTTTCCTCTCGGATTTCTAAGTTGGAGATCACAAATGCTTAGATCTATTTGGATCCATACCCCTTCTTTCCCAGCTACTAGAGTAAATCTGACTGTAGGAGTAAACATTTCAGGAAACTCACTAGGAGAGTAAGCAGAACTAATTAAGTTTGATGCCAGATCTTCCTCAAATCTTTCTGTTTAAAGTAAAATAATTCCATTTTATGCACAGTCTATTCTGAGTTGTGTTTCTGTCATCTGCGACTGCAAGTATATGTTTGGTGGCATTGGCTCTTTCCCTCAAGTGTTAGAGGAGTCATAAAATGTAGGCCAGCAAATAGTGGGACCTATACTGTACAACAAATGCCTAACACTGTGTAGATACAATTATGAAAAATTTCTAGAAAGAAATGTAAGCATGGATCACAAAATGCTGACCTTCATAAAAAATGATACTAATGCAGACTCTTGGTATCTTTTATGGTTAAATGAGATGGAAATCTGTAATTACAATCCATTTTTTATGTAATATATATGTAATATTCTCATATTATTTATATGTCCTTACATCTACGTCACTAGCTACTAGTTAGTTTCTTTCACTTATTAGGACATTAGAGATATTTACTGTCTTCCACATTTGAGAGATACCCAAGTAGAGGCAAGAGTGAAAAGAACTCACATTTACTTGAATGCCCCAGATGTTATAATAGGTACAAATATTTAATTAGAACTTTATGATAATCTAAAAGATACATACTAATATTTTTATTTACATGTAAAGAAATAGGTTGGAAGGCTACTCTACCTAATGCACATAACTGAATTCTAATGTGTTTCCTTTCACACTAGACATCCGTGGGAGAAGCAATTTTGAACAGAGAAAAGCTGGTGTAACAGGAAGAATAACACATAATGCTACTAAATATTAGAATAAAAGAAAATAAAGTCACTTACCCAGTATATCTTTGTGAGTATAAAAACATGTCTTGAATGGCTTGTATTCATGGATCCTTTTGAATGTTTCCCCAAAAGGAGCTGGTGGAATTATTTTATTACAAACAGCACAGCAAACAAAGTTTGTGTAATTTGGGTTTCTGATCATAATTAAATTTCAGATGTCTCCTACTATTTAAACTAATCTTAGAACCAGCAAAAGTAGTTTTAAAAGAAGCTAAACATTCAAGCTGGGAGAGGTTCAGGATACTACTAGATGCTGGTAAGGACATAAATTATGTGTTGTTAGACACAACATTAAAGAATGGTACTAAGAGCCTCTCTCATGTAAGATATGGATGCTGGATTTGGGGAGCTGTAATCAAGTGCTCCCTTCTAGGTATTAGCATTAAGTTGTTACCTTACTTAACAACTGTTGCTAGGTAACACAAGCTTTGCTCATAAAAGCAACATGAAATTAAATGACAAAGATGGCATGATGCAGCCATTCATTTTCCGGATAGTTGCTTTATTGCTTTCCTGTGGCCACTGTAACAAATCAAATTTCATTGCATAAATATAACACAAGTGTAGTCTCGTCAATTTCTGGAAGTCAGAGTACAACATTAGTCTTTTAGAGATAAAAATCAGGAGGGCCAGTTCCTGAGGACATTAGAGATATTTACTGTATAAACTTTCTCTTTAGCAGAGAAAGTTTCCTTGCTTTTGCAGCTTCTAAAGTCATCCATTTTCCTCACATCAATAGCTTTTTCTTCTCCTGCTTCCATGGTGACATCTCTTTCTCTGATCTTCTGTGTCTAGCAACCCATGTTACATGCCAGGCCCATCTAGATAATCCAAGATGATGTCCCCTTCTCAAAAATGCTTGGCATTGACATCTACAAAGTTCCTTTTGCCATAGAAAGTTAATATATTCACTGGTGGGGGTGGACATCTTTGAAATAGAGCTAAGTATTAATCAGCCAGCCATAGGGTTTTGAGTGTGTGTGTGTATGTGTGGTACCATGGATCAAACTTGGGACCTCGCCCATGCCAGTCAGGCACTTATGCCACTGAACTGTCTCCCTGGCCCAATTTTTTTTTGTAAACTTTTTGATTTTGTTGTGTATTTTATTTATTTATTTTATTTTTATTTTTTGTACTCGAATTGAACTCAGGCAGACTCAGGGGCCAGGGGTTTGATACCTGGGCCTGCCATGCAGGCCTCACCTCTGGGGTGCATGGAGACAGTAATTGAGACTGGGTGTGGTGCCGTGCACCTGTAATCCCAGCACTTGGGAGGCCGTAAACAGGAGAATCACTGAGTCTGATCTAGTAGTGAGACCCTTCCCTAAAAATACAGAAAAAAAAATGTAAAAACAAAACAAAACAAAACAAACCCACAACTTATTTTTTGGCCAAAAATGGAAAGTTTTTTTTTTTATAATGAATCAATGTCATTAATGAAATTAATTTCAACACTAGACCACCCATAGTGAAGCCAGAAGATAGGAAAAATTAGGAAGATAGGGCATAGGTCCTAAATAGTTAACCTGAAGTAAACTAAAGGTCAGGGCTTAAGTGAGTTAGTCCCAAAGGGCCCAAATAATTAACTGACCTTCAGGGCCTAATGGGACACAAGGGACAAAGAATAGGTGCTTAGCCAAATGAAGTGATCTGGTGGAAGTGAAATGCAAATGAAGCACACCCAGCAACCAGGAGCATTCTGCTTTCTGTCACTTCCACCAGTCCTCAAAACTGTATAAAATGCCAAAGGACTTATCATCTATGGTTTTTACTCCTCCCGAACAAGCAGCTTTTATTCCAATAAACACACACTTGACCATTCTTTACTGCTTGCTGTTTTGTCAGCTTCAGACTTCATTGTCCCAAAACAAGAACCCAAGAACTAGAGGGAGCTGGGTCATATCAGGCCGCACAGTCTGTGTCACAAAAGTTACCCTGTAATTCCTTTGTGCAGTACATTTATCTTAAGTCATACCTACTGGTAAGTGACTGAAGACCTTAAATAACTATTGTGGTATTAGGTTCAATTTCAAGATGGTCAACTAGAACTGGAAATGGATTAAAAAGATGAGCCCCTATTGAAAACAGACACTGAAGCCACTGTTAATTATCTGGGCTGAGAACAGAAGCCATCACATCTGAGTTCTTCCTAACACTGGAAATTCTTGCCCAGGTGGATAGCGAAAAACTGGTCTTGATTTGCTTGAGCCTGTCCTTGTTTTAATGTTTTAAAAAAGAAAGTCAGCTGGGTGTAGTGGCTGTTAATGCCAGCACTGGGAGAGGCTGAAGCAGGAGGATCAAAAGTCTGAGCCTATCCCGGGCAATTGCGATTTAGAGAGAAATAAAAATAAAAAGAGCTGAGGACTTAGTCAGTGCAAAGGCAATCTCTGGCATTGGCCAAACACGTAAACAAAACCACCACAAAAATAGTGAAAAGCTTGTGTCATGAGAAACCTTTAGGGCCTGGCAAACAGAAGAGCTGATCACCCTATGGAAGACAAAGCTGTAAAACCAATAAATAACTTCAATGTTAGTGTTAGAAAGTGTCTGAAAGCCAATTTATCAATGGAACAGCTGAGTAATTTGGGCCAATGGCTCTCATAGCAAAGCTTTCCTTCCTCTAACAATCATTTACTCACCAAGACTTGCTTCCACACGTTATCTGTTAGGTCAGTTTTGCCCACACTCAAGCCGATTCCCACAGTGAAAGACCTTTCTTTGGCCATTTGAACTCAGACAGCAAATACCTTCCCATGACCATTCCCTTCTTAATTAAACACAACTAAGTGGCATTTTCCCTTAGTGCTATAGGCTTAACAAACTTAACTCTGATCAGCAAGAGATTGAGATGGCCGTTGGAAGGAGTCAGCAGTTAGTCCTTTACACTTATTTTGCTTCAAAATATGTCTCTGTACTTAAGACCTGAATATCTTACACTGAGGGCTAATGTGGCTGCTTACTCTTTATTGGACATACAAGATGTACAGTGAAAAGATCCTTTGGAGCAAGGATGGATAGAGGTCCCTCTCCTGAATAAGAATCACTGATTCTGGGTAAATCTGAATGCTTCTCAGCCTGCTTTTCTGAAGTTCAATGTTTAAAATCCTATTATTCAAAGGGTGTTTTACTTTTTCAGGTCATTCCCTCACTCAACAGAATGGATGAAAACACCCACATATAGCTCGGCATCCTATACTCTCTGCCTACACCAAAACTGTTACAACCTATGACCATCCTAAACAAGAGATTACAGTTAGCTACTTGTTCCTGAAATTCAGTGATTTCTCTCCCACACTGGTCTTCACAGTTCCATGCTTGATTGTATCTGTGGTCATCTTTGCTTCTAAGCACAGATACTACACAGCTGAAGGCTGGATGCTGTAGTTTCTCTTGACAGTTCACCCAAATAATAATTCCTCTGATATGATGCTGAATATCAACTTACTGTGTTGACTAGGAAAAGAATTCTGAAGTTTGAAAATATGACATTAGGCCAAAAATGTAAAAACAGAATAACTACATCTTTGACAACAAAAATACACAGGGAAACGAAATGCAAAGTATTTAAATTAACAGGCTCTTTTTTTTTTCTTACCCTGTAAATATATTTTAAATTACATGAAGTATACTATATGGAAAGATACTGTCGTGACTTGAGGTCTTACAAGGGGAAACAATGCAATACAGAATACTTATTTACAAGATTATTTCATAATAATCACCCAAAGAGTCACACACAAAATGAATGCAGGAAATCTGTCCATACACAACCAAAGAATCCATCTGTGGGCCTGGATCCCATGATATTGTCCTGCTGGAGTCCAGGTGAAGACCTACAGCCCATAACAATGCCTCCCATGAGTCCAACTGGATGCCTAGAGCCATGATAATGTCTCATACAGGCCTATTTCACGGATCTGTGCTGGAAAAGCCCAATGGTCATTGGTGGAAGCTAGGAAGTCTGTGCCAGGGGGATGAAGGATCTGTGCCAGCAGGCTGAGGGGTCTGAACTGGAGCCAGGAAGTGACTCTCAAAGTATAAACCAGAGCTCCCCCGAAAGATTCTACAGACATACTCAGCGACAGTGAAGTCCTAAGCTTCTCCAGCAATGAGGAAAGCGGAATTACCATCATGAAAGCCAACACAACAAGCTTTTCCAAGAAACTGGGCTATGCACCCTGGAGCCGGCAAGTGATGCTCAAGGTGAGGACCAGAGCTTCCCCAAAGTGAACAGTAGCTGTTCTTAACAAGGTCCTGAGCTCCTTCGATGATGGGAATACCCAAGTTCACCAAGAAAGCCAGCATGACAAGCACCTCCAAGAGAACTGACAGCTCCCTACAGCTTCTAACTGTACTCAACAGCTTCTTATTCTCCAGTTCTGCCTCTTATGCTGCTGGCAACAATCCTCAGGCAGGCCTCCCACACCCAACACTGTGCTGGATTAGTTCAGCTGGGTATTACAAATTGACCACCAATTGTGAATCCACCACAGGTACTTAGGGCTCAGCAACAAGACTTAATTTAGAGATACATACATAAACTTAATTAGTTAGGCTCTTTAATATATATAAATCAGACACCATTCCATCTTCATGTACCCTGCAAAATCACAATAAAGTGTTAGAAATTATAATTAGCATTATGATAGTAAGTTCTATGTTACTATTATTTGGTAATAACAAAACAAAATTTCAGAGATCAGATTTACTGCTAATTGTCAAAGACAGTGATTTGAATAATGGGCTACAGGGGCCGGGGAGATGGCTCACAAGAGCTGGAGTTCAATCCCTGGTTCTGCCAAAAAAAAAAAAAAAAAAAAAAAAAAGGGGGGCAAAAATTAATAATGGGCTACATACCTGTACTTAGAAATGAAACAGGTCCAGAACCTGGTGTGAAAGATTTAAATTTTATCAGGTAAGTCCTCAGGTAAATCCAGTATTGCAAGGAGAACTTATTTCTTATCTACTTATTTGATACAAGGTCTTGGTACACAGTTCAGACTCACAGGGATCCTCCCATCTCAGCTGCCCCAGCAATGGTTTTAGTGCTGGCAAGGCACGCGGTACCAGGGATCAAACCTGGGTCCTTGTGCTTGCCAGGTACCTGCTTAGACCACTGAGCTATCTTTTTTTTTTTCCAGTACCGGGATTGAACTCAGGACCTTGTGCTTGCCAGGCAGGTGCTTATGCCACTGGGCTATCTCCCTGGCCCTTGACTAGTTCTAGTTTTTAAGCACAAGAACACTCTGTAACACTGATTTCCATAGATTAAAATAGGTAACATTTAGTTGTAGTAAAACATTATGCCTCAATATAGCACATTTAAGTACTTTTTATTCTCTTGTTTAATCATGATTTTAGTAACTGAGGGGGATTGCTGCTCAATTAAAGTTCTGACCCCAGATTAGCTGACACAGAAACCAAACTGAACTCTGTGACTGTAAGCTGTATTAAAATTGTTACGGGGGGGGGGGGGCTGCCCCTTAGCTCAGTTCTTTAAGTGGATGCTTCAACAAAGCAGTCAGGCTCAGGTTGCAGGGGTTCGATTCCCACAACTCAAGCCAGCCAAACCTGCCCTGAAGGCATTAGGAGAAAAAAAAAAAATCCTTATTCCATTCGTCATGTAACTCAGCAGTGTCCCAAATTTTCTGATCAAGGAGATTATGGGACCAAAGAGGAAAGTGATTGATGATGTAGAGTGTGCCTAAGGAGAGTCACATGGAGAGAAAACATTCTCTCATGGCTGACACTGACAAACAATCTGAGGTACAGGATCTCAGGATAAATCCTGAGAGGATTTCACTGACCTTATCAGACCCAAAAGCTACAACTCTTGTTGCATAGGTCCTGCTTTACCTTGGTCTTAACCACCCAGCAGAAAAGTATAAATACAAAGTATAAGAAGTAAAGCCATGCTGTTATGTTGAGCTGTAGGGGACTCAGGTCAACAATTTCTGACACTGCCAGTGAAGCAAAGACCCAATACTATTATGGACTACTGAACTCTTTTAGATTATTCTGTTGAATCAACACACCTATAATATTCAAATAACGGAACTTAACAAAAAAAGGGTATACTGATGAATGTCCATTTTATATCTGTGTATTCAAAGTGGTTAGGATAGATATATAGTTACATTATCTTAATAAATAGAGTGATTTGTTCTAATGGTGTTTGTAGATAGGATATCATGCCCGCATCTTGTACAGCAATTAACCACTGGGAGGAATGTATACAATGTGTTAATTATTGAAACTGTCCTATCAATTTGATTTGAAACTGTCTCATTGCTATTTATCAATAAAATTATGGGGGGAAAAAAAAAAACTGTTACAGGGCCAGGGAGATGGGCTCAGTGGAATAAGTGCTTCCCTGGCAAGCGCAAAGGCCAGAGTTCAATCCCCGGTACCACCAAAAAATAAATAAATAAATAAATAAATAAAAAATAAATAAAACTGCTACCACCAACTAAATTTTCATTTCTCATCTTAATATTAACTCAAGCTTTAAAATTATAATTTCCCTTTCTTTACACATACAGGCTTTTATTTCAAGTAGAAAATACATGTGTTCTTTGCAAATAACGCTAAACTCTTACAATAGCTACAAAGGCACAATTTACCTTAAAATGTTAAAAAAAAACAAAAACTCATGCAAATTTAATAGCATTGGGTACTTTTATTATACCGAATTTAATAATTAACAAAAATGACTTCCATCTTCCAGGCACCTTTGTAATAGGATTTAGTAAAAGATAAATACCAACATGCTCTTCTTGTAGAAAAATAGTGAGTTTAACAACTACAGCTGTAAAGTGACAAAATTCACTAGTGATGTGGTTGCAACCGTTATGTTCTAATTAGCCTATTATTGAACAAGAAATATGATTCTGTATGCTCACAAAGTCTTTCATCTGAAGATTGCAGAGTTAAGAAAGCTCCATCTGCAGTAAGTAGCAGTTTAATCCCATTTAGATGTTTTCCTCCGCATATAACTGTGCCCCTCACTATCAATAGCTTCGTAGAGATCCTTTTTATTCTCTTGTGTTGCATGGAGATAGCCAATGTAAGCCACACAAAGCGAAAGGGAGATCAAGCCGAAGGCCATTACAGGTTTATTCTATCAAAGAAAAAAAATTATGAAGACTCATTAAGCTAATAACTGGGGGCGATTCAAGTATCTATTACGCTTTCCTCTTGGCATGCTCTTTATTCCACCAGCTCAGTTCCTAATTATTGACAGACAGAAGCCTCTTACATCTCTCCTTCAGCCTTTTGCCTCTCTACAGCCTGGATATTCAAGACCTTCACCCTCAGCAAGGCGACAGCTCAGAGGGGAATGAGGCACATTCACTGATCTGGTGCTCAATTTTCACTGGCGTCTGTGTGACTGGAGAAGGTGCTTAACTTTTCTGGGCCGAAATCTCAAATTAGTGTATTTTATTAGGAAGTAAAAAATAAAACAGACATACTACTTTCACTTCCCAAGGCATGAGCATTAACATATTGTCAAAAATATTAAATATATTCAGTTTCAAAAAGCCTTCTGTAACCTATATTAGACACAACGACATATACTCTTCTTTTAAAACCTATTTATTACCTCAAGAAATTTAATGATTAGCATAGATACCAAGCTGTTAGAATAACACTGATGTACTGCTAGAAAATCCAAGCTCCTAGGAAAGTGATTTGCCTTGAATTGTGTGTGTGTGTGTGTGTGTGTGTGTTGGGGGGCTTTTACTAAATAGGAAGGCTTCCAGAGAACTCTTTTGTCCATTACACTTGTGATTCCCGAGCCAGCGATCTGTAATGTGGCTCCCACGTCTACATGTCCTGTACTTAACAAACTGGCCTTCCTTTGGTTAGTGATGCACGGCGGTGATATGTGGTACTTCCTGCTCTCTCTCTATACTTGCTGTAGGACAGCAGTGCCCCCAACATTTTCCAAGACTCCCAGTGGATGCTTCAAATCAGTGCCAAACACTGCACAGTATAAACTGTATTTTTTTCTATACACACACATCTGTAAGTTTTGTTTATATCACAAGCAAAGTTATGTGAATATAGTCTCTCTTCAAAATAAGTGTTAATATTTTCAAACCCATGGTTCGCAATTAACCAACTGAAAGTATAAAGTGAAAATGTGGATGGGGGAACTATCACATACTATTTTAAGTTTTAATTGTAAAACAATAAGGGTCAATCTTTTCTGTTGGAATATCTAAGAAAAGTCTTAAACTCAGGGTAGTTTCATTTTCAATTTGTAATGCTTTTATCATTTGAAAGAACACATTAGTTCAGTTTTTAAAACCCTCTACCTTGATTTAATGATTCACACTGACCTACTTTAAAATAATTTACACTAGCAACTGTTATTAAAATTCTAAATAGGTTCAATATACTTAAATATCATTTAATAATTTGATTTTTGTTGAAAAATATAATCACTAATTTGTAACAAGAATATAAATGATTAGCTCTAACAGTACACAAATGTTTGCTTTGGAATTTTTCACAAAATGCTCACAATTATACAAGTGACAGTTAATAAAAGCTGGTACTACAGTTGCTAAAATTATCAGATTGTCATTTTGGCTTATTTCAGTGGAAAGTCTTGTTTACGCAGCAAAAAAAAAAAAAAAGTTGCATTCACATTAAAGCAATAATTAAACTAGTATGTTAGAGAAGTCGCTCCACTACAACATAACCATTTTCTGTCATAATTCCCAAACTCCTTCCAAATATTTCATGCGCATTTACACATGAAACAGCATTTAAAATTTTCCCTAAATTTGGCTTATTCATAAAGGGGTCATCATAAAATGTCTATGATAAAATCAAATGCTTCTGGGAAATATGAACTTCATAAGTCTAGTAGCCTGATTAAATATAGTCATATCCTGGATATAATTCTTACAGGTTTAATGAAGAGCTCTGGATTTATAGCTCGAAATAAAGTCGTTGTGCAAACCCCTCTGAGTCCTGGGTTTTGAAAGTCTTTTTCTTTGGGTGGTTCTTGTTTAAGTGTTGGAGGCTCAGGTGCTGAAGACATCTTCATTTATGATGAATTATTACCTAAAAACAAAACAATATATTTTCCTTCATAATTATCTTTGATAAACCTTTAAAAAATCATTCCTATACTCCTCTGCTTTTAAATTTCAGATGTGCCCAAAGTGACTGTCAATTTTTATTTTGTAAAATGCATATTTTATAAGTAGTGTTTTTTTGTTTGGTAAAATGGTTTTTATTTCTTATCCCAGTGAGATAGGCAGAAATTCAGAGAATGGTTTATTGGTATCACATTATAGCCTGTTATACAAAGCCAAGACTATGGGTAAGTCTTGTGGCAATCCACTCCTTTATTTCCTGGAATTGCTCTCCTCTCCTAACAGCACTTCCACAGAACACAAGGGAAGTACTGCCACTCCTTTGCTTAGTGTCTCCCTGGCCCATTTTGCCCTCATACTTCCCTAATTAGTCAACCAAGCGCTCACTATCCCAAGAAGCAGCAGGTATTTGTACTCACTTCACTCCTTTGCCTATCAATGACTTTCTAGGAAGGCCAAGTTCTACTTGTCTCCATCTAAATACTATTCTTTCTTATTTATCTAGATCTAACCTATTAAATCCAATGTATCTGTCTTTTTTCCTTCTAGGTGGATTATCAACAAATTGACAATACTTTTTTCTTCCTGGTATCATTCCTGCCCTTCTCTGGTTGGAGAAGGATGTCAGGAGGGAGAACAATAAACCATCCAAAGCTTGAAATTAATGATGTAATAAAACTCCTTAGGAAAATACTGCAACTCTCTGTACAATAAATGTTACAAAACAAGAGTAAAAAATTTAAACATGATGCTTTGTTTGTATTCTTTATTCGCCAACTCTTCTATTTAACAAGTAGTGATTTTTGCAACTTTTAGACTTAGAAAGAAAAATAAGAATTCAGCTTTTCAAAACACTGTTGCACTGACTATAGACATTCATCTATAGTATTTACTTGGGTACATCATAAGGAACATTTGCTTGAAAGGGAAGTGATTCTCTACTTTCCAGACTTGGAAAGGCTGAGACATGCTTGCTATTGGCTGTTTGATTACTTGTCCCCCATGCAGGTTATGGTTATTACTGCCAGTGTCATCACCACCACCACAGCTTTCCGGTGCCAACTTCACATCTATGAGTATACCTGAAGCAATTTCAGGATTTGCTCACTCTTGTAGAACAGTTAAATTGCTATCTCTAGCCATGTTTTCCAATTAAACTGCTTTGGGAAACCAGTGGACAGTGGCAATGGAATGCTAGATTGGTTCATTGTCAGGAATGAAACAGTCTTAGTTTACCACTACTGGGGCATTAGCTAAATCTATAAGGAAGGCTTGAAATAATGCAAATATACAAAGGTGACTGTAACTAAAAATAAACACACTTTCTCTTTATTAGAAAACAGCTGCATGTAACTGTCACAAAAATATCCTGTAGAAAATGGGTCAAAGGTGTTCTTAACGTAGAAAAATAAGGTAATGGGAAAAGTACACAATGTATAGAGTACAAATTTAGAGCACAGAAAGGCCCTCAGAGCAGAGTTCATCATGTATACTTCATGTGGATGAAAATGTGTTAGGAGGGCTGGCCAGTTAGTTCAATGGATTAAAGTGCCTGCTTAGGCAGACACAGGGACCGGGATTTGACCCCCAGCATGTCATTCCGGCCCCGCTCCTGAGACAGCACTGAGACAGCCTGGGCATGGTGGCACACGCCTATAATCCCAGTGCTTGGGAGGCTGAAAACAGGAGGACCACTATGAGATTGATCTGTGTAGTGAGAACCTATAATAAATACATTGAAAAAAAAAGAAAAAAATTATATCATTTCATATCATTAATGAAATGATATAATTTCATTACAAATAGAGTATTCCTTACTTGAAATGCCTGGAACTAGAAGTATTTGAATTTTATTTGTATTTTAGAATATTTGTATATACAAATTAAGATATCTAGAGGAAAAGATCAAAGTCCAAACACAAAATTCATTCATATTTCACATATACTTAGTACATGTAGGCCTGAAGCTATTTTTACACAATATTTTAAATAATTTTGTACATAAAATTTTGTGTACACTGACCCATTAGAAAGCAAATGTGTTGCTATCGTAGCTCTCCACTTAACAACCTGGTTACCTGGCATCACCATCATTCTTGACTCTAAATTCATACATTACTAGTAAGGAATCACTTTCTCACACTCACATGTACGCAGTTAGTAAAAAGTATGACATACCATCAATACAAAAGAATAATGTGTCCAGGGTAAGCAGAAAGAAAAGCAGCGTCTCCAGAATTCTTGTGTCTGCTGTTAGACAGCAGCAGTTTTCAATTAACACCTGTAGTGTCGTGTTGTTGAGATTGTTGCTGTACCCCACTTCATTTTATTGTATTAGGTGAGAAGAAACATCAGAAGCAGCTGAGGGGCCAGCAAGTGGCTCCTCTAGGGACGAGGAAGCATTTGGCTGAGTGTCTGTTTTGTACGTTTCCCCTAATGTCATCTTCTTCATTAACAGTTTTCGTCCTAGAAGTCTCTGTTTGATTTTATAAAGTGACAGGACTTCTTGTTCCGTTATAAAAGCTCGTTGCTCTAGTCCTTCAATAAGTCCATCACACAATTTCACCATGTCATCTATTGGCACTTTTCCTGCAGCGCTGACATCATCTTCACAATGACCACTACCTTCCCCAGCTTGATTCAGAACCATTTTTGCTACTTCACCACTGGTCAATGAATGAACAACTACATCCTGATTCTTGGTGTTAAAAACTTTTTCAATATCCACTTTTTCAATGAATTTTTCTGCTGCTTTGTGACCGACAGATGTTTTCTTACCACAAATCTTTAAAAATTTAATGCCATGTCTTTTCTTAAATTTTTGAAGCCAGCCTGTTGAGTATTCACAGTTCCCTTCAATTTTTAATTCATCATGATAAATCTTTGCTTGCTTCATGATCAACATACCATTTAGTGGCATGTGTTCACTGCGACGCTGGCGGATCCACTCTTTCAGTACACGATCAAGATCTTCATTTTTAGCTTTATGCAGTGTTTTCCTATTTTTCATTAACTTTGGCTCATCACTTTCAGCATAAAACTTGAACAATTTATCCTTCTGTTTCTTCAGGTCATATATGGTGGTCATTCCAACACCATACTCCTTGGTAAGATGTTTCACACTTACACCACTGTCCAGCTTTTCCAACAGCTTCACTTTCTGTGCTATAGATAAACATAAATGTTTCCTCTTTTTCCTATCACTGTCACCCACAGGGACATCTGTGGTTCTTTTTAACATTTTTTTTTAACAATTTCTTTATACTACAGAGAAGACAGTAAGCTAAAAAATCACAGTGAGTGACAAGGCTTCATATGGACATCTTGAGGAACCGGGCCTTGACACACTGGGCCTTGACACGTGCCACTCCAGTACTCCTTGAGGGTGTGCTTCTGCAGGAGAATCTGGGCATGTGCAGAAAAGATATGCTACGGCTCAAGGCGACTGGGTGGTATTTTCTCTCTTGGAGACAGTGAATAAACTGACTGTTGGGTACTTGTGTCTTAACTGTAAAACGTCACATAAGGTCGTGTGGAATTTTCCACTTGTGGCAACATGCTGGTGCTCAATGTTTCAGGTTTTGAAATATTCTGAATTTCAGATTAGGAATGTTCAACCTGTATTTTAAAATTAAAGGGATGCAGGATGTCAAATGTGAAGATTCATATGGTATGTCTATAAAAAACTATGTAATTCTAACTTGAATTGTAATAACCTACAGTGAGTTGCAAAATCCCTTGATTTTGTTTTTCCTTTGGAAACCTACTATTTCCTTTGTAATCAATCAAAGAAATAAGCATTGAAAGTAGTAGTTATATTGAGATTTCAAACACCTACATTCATCTTGGTTTTTTTGTTTTACGCAACCGGGGATTGAACTCAGGCCCTTGTACTCGCCAGGTAAGCACTTATTCTACTAAGCCATCTCCCCGGCCCCTACATTCAACTTAATAATGTATTGTTTATGGGAGTTTTCTGGCAACAGAGATCGAATTCAGGACCTTGTGTCTGCCAGGCAGGCGATTATGCCACTGAGATGTCTCGCTGGCCCTTGTTAAATGTTAAATGGTACTAGAAATGACAAATAAAGGGTACTCATACTGCAAATCTAAAAGTATATTTTCAAGATTTAATATATCACAATTTCTATTATTTCTGATGCTTTCTGGAAAACTAAAATTTTATTAAAAGTGGGATAAAACAGCTCAATTCTATTGATACTTCTGCTTTTATGAGCCAAGCACCAAAAGTGTTACAACAGTTCTCCTAAAACTGCATGAGCTTACTTAAACATCAAGGGAAGAATCTTTAATAACAATGTATACTTTCAATAATATGTAGATAACTCAAGCCAAAAAGGGTTTTTAATAGCCAAGAATTTGTTATATACACATAAAGTTCTTCTGTATTTATTTATATTCCTGGCCCATGGAGTCATACGTGTATAACTGGAGTGGAAAATTTAAAATGTGCTGGTTAAGTAAGAATGTAAAATACAGGGCTCAGAAGTATAAGTACCCACCTGGCAAGCACAAGGTTCTAAGTTCAATCCCGGAACCCTGGGCACACTGTGTTGGTTCCAGAACCTGTTGTCCCAGCAGTCATGAGGTTGAGACAGGATGATCGCTATGAGCTCGAGATCAGCCTGGGGGGGTTACAAAAGTCAGCACAAGGTCAGCCTGAACTGCGTAGTGAGAGCCTGTTTCAAAAAAAAAAGAAAAAAGTAAAATACAAAATCTTGTCTCCTCTCCAAAGATGTGTAAATTAGCACTTTTTGGAAAAACAAATCTTTATTTCAACAAGCTTTTCATCTGCTAGTAAAAGCCAACTGACTATTTTTACAGAACTAATTTAAGTTCTATTATTAAAAGCTGCATAGGGAGCCACTGAGATAGTTCACTGGTCTAAAGCACCTGGTTAGGCAAGTGCACAGGGACTGTAGTTCGATCCCCAGTATCATATGCTGTGCCAACCCAGCTCCCAAGGAAGGCTGAGCTGGCCACAAAATAATTAATAATAATAATAATAATAATAATAATAATAAAAATGAAAACTGCATAACCATAAGTTCAAAAAAGAGCAATAAATTATTTTGACATTACACTGCAATAAAACTATGCCTAAGACAAAAACAGTTCACATCAACCACAGTTCCATTAGAACTACAAGTATGAAAAATTCTCCTTTCCTTTAAAATGCTATATAAACACACACACACACACACACACACACACACACACCATATACTATGTAAACCAGGTTCTTAATCCTGAGAAAAGGCCATGTGACTTCTCCAACTTCTCCCCCTCCATTCTCCCCACTGCACTGGGTGGCACTTCTTTGCACTTAACGTTGATCAATTTCCAGATTTGTGCACTTCAAACATGTTTAAGATGGATTTTAAAGCCTATTGCATTAAGTCAAAAGAGAATCACAGGAACATACATGCACACAGGTTAGCAGAGATGGTGAGAACATGGCGCTGCACCGCTTAAAGTAGTTTGCAGTAATGTCTGCAGGCCCACTTGCAAAATAGTGACTGGGTACTACTGGCTGTGTGATCTGTCCAGGTGCCCTTATTCTTATTTCTTCTTCATTTTTCCACGCAGTTTCTTGTTTTACTCATAAGAACCTATTTTTTTATGTATGTATGCATGTATGTATATTAGTATATGTTTGATATATATATAAGGAGAAAGAAGAATTTTTGATACTTGTGTCTGAAAAAGATTCATATTAAGCTCTACTTATTTCATATGCCCTTCTCTGGTAAGTCTTTACTTTTCCTTCTGTCCACCTTCCGGTGAAGGAAACATGCAAAGGGAAAAAGCAAAGGTGAAGAGCTGTTCCTTCACATACCTCAAAGCATGACACTGCGGCCCAGAATGAACATCACCCACGACAGAAGCTGTACCAGATAGCTGTAGAATGATTTTCTTAAGTAAAACTCTTGCGGGAGGGGAGGTGACTCAGAAAGCACATGGTAATACTGTCCATGTAAACTAGACCAAGATTTAGAGTGTAAGAATTTCTTTAGAGGAAATAATTCCATCTTCAAATACACATTTTAGAACTAGACAACAAGTCAAAACAAAATGATCAGAAGTCACAGAATGTTAACAAGGAGGAAATGTATCAATAATACAATCCTTTGGAAAGGCTCAGGGAATAAAATAGACCAATATTTTAAGGGGAGTTTAAACACACCTATCACTTTAGTCTCACATAACATACTATCTTATTAGTTGAAGTCTGGTGCAGAAACTTAAAGTAGTTTGAGTATAAACAGTTTTGAGATAGAATTATAGACTTAATAGCTCGAGGGAATCCAGCAAAGCCTCAGATCCCAGCCTGGTCTCTTCTAAACTGTTATTTATGATTCTCTGTTACCACCTTTATACAAGGATAACAGTATCTACTGCACACAGATGTAGATTAAATAAGATGTTCAGAAAAATGGTAACTGTGGTCTTCGCCTTCTACCCTCCTTTAAACGAATCTAGACTCAGAGGCTGTATCTTCGCCAGAGGACTGTTGTAACCCAGCTCATTCCTCGTCCGTCCAACTCACCTCGTCCAATCGTACTTCCAAATGGAAAGTCTCTGTTTATAAATTATTGTAAAATATGAGAAACGTAACAGTTGTAAACGCGTACGTTTAAAAAGCTTTTCCTACTGCTTTCCTTGGCACCCGGAATCCAACTCAGGACCTCGCGCCCACCAGGCAGGCACTCGCGCCGCTGCGCTACGCCCCGCCCCCTACGCAGCTGTTAACGTCAATATAAATTTTTAAAGTGCTTTTGCGCCTCTTTGAGTTTGCTGTACCCGAGGAAAGGAAAAAGGACCGACGCCCGAAGAGCCGGCGGCGGCGGCGCCCCTCTCCGCCGCGGCCCCTGCGCTGCTGCTAATTACTCGAAGCTTTCGGAGGGAACTGGGGCCAACCGAGATCCGGGCGTGACCGCCACGGGACTGAAAACACAGCCGCCGCCCGCACAGTCACGGCGGGCGGGCTCCCGGGCGGGGCCGCGGAGGCCCGACGGCGGCTCGGGCGGGGAGGAGGGCCTGGAAGGCGCCGCGCGAGCCCAGGC